TTATGTCTTTATTCCCGTTATCTGATTTCCCTTTTGTATTCCAGACTTTTATGCGATTGTTTTTATATACACAAAAGTGGTTTTAAATTGAGTACGGCCATCGCAGCTCTCAGTATGCATCATTCACTATTTCTACATAAAACTTTGAAAGCTATTTGAACATTAATTTCTTTACCCGTTTCCTTATATGTCCATAGCTATAGGTGAAGAGGCTCGTCTCCAACCAATGTTTATCAATTTTTCACACTCCATTTGCTTTTGAAGTCATTTAGGTACATGTTCTTCCACCCTCAACTGCGTGGTTCGATTACTCCACCCTATGTATGTGTGACCACCAAACATGTAAACTGGTAAACACAATGTTATGTGACGTAATCATTGATGCAGTGTTTAGGTTTGTAGTGAAGTATGTGTTTTGTCTTTCCCATAACGATAAGCTCAGCTGCACATTATGTCTTACTAATGGTTGGTGTTAGCCTACATTTTAAAATAATCACATCCAGCTCCCTTCTATACGGCAGAGTGATACAGACACCTCTTAGGAACCATGTGTAGAATTTGACTTTCGAGTTATCTGACTTCTACAGTGATTTATAAACTTCAACGGATATCCGTTTTCCATAATTTTTTTTGGTCAGTAATTTGATATTTTCATCCATCGTATCTGATGTACAGATACAATAGATCCTACTAAACAGGCATTTCACTATACAAAACAAAAACTGAAAATTCAGGTATTGTCTCGTCCGTATTGACTTTCTGCAGAATGACTATCTTCTTGAACCAGCGTTTCTTCGACTCAAGAGTACATCTAAGAATACCAGATGATTATTACTCTCGTCCTAACAAGTCAGGTTGATATAATTTTGTGCAGTGCTAAATCTTTTTAATGGGCAAACCATATTCTCATGTTTCTCAAAAATCGATATGACGTCGATAGAAATCCTTAGTTTACCTTCCCTGTCTGCTCTCTCTTGCTAGGCTTCCTTTCGCTATGCTAGTGTGGATTGTAACAACCTAAATTCACATCCGATAATGCGATGTCCTATATCAGTGCTATCTTACGACTGGTCGGCTCCCCAAACAGAAAAAACAAACGCTTATACCAAATAATTTAACAAAGAGTATTGACAAAGAAACATTCAGGAACTTTAGAAAAAGAGTTAAGCGTATCTATAATACTCGAAAATCTTCATTTGTTGCTAGATTTATAGCACTGACTGATGCAGAGCTATTGGGAACTTCTCAGGCTTATTGCAAATGGATGGATTTCAGTTGAAGAAAAACCAAATACTTGGCAACACTGGAGAACTGTTTCATCCTAACTAGGAACTCCAGAGCAGAGCGTACCCACACCCTTATTCGTTCAAATTGAGAGAATAGAATCAGTGATGGTAGACCGTTGGTGACAAAGCTGAAAAGTAGTCACAATGGTACATATCTATTCACTGTTTGGTGTCTTCGAAAGCTTGAACATTCCCACCAACCTCCATCTTCTAAATTCTTCCTGCTCCCATACATTTTTTGTTTATCTCAATATCACTCTTTTTCTGCCCAGTTGTTCTTTGCATGCAGTGGAAGGTGACGACTTCAAGTGATGCACCTCTGTTCAAGGTTCTACGTTGATTTTGTCCATCTGTCTTTAACTCATGAAATAGCATAAGCATAGTTCAGTGTCACTGGTGGGCATTCGCCTCATTCTCATTTCCGTTGACCACACAGGTCACAACTTGTTTGAGATCGATCTGCGTAAACTCTAATGCGAAGTCGTGACCATTAGATGTAAACAAATTAGAAGTAGGATGGATGCCCACCATGCGAACGATCCACAGAGAAGGAGACTTCATAAGTCTAAACGAACAAAATTAAGCAGAAACAGTTCATAACTGTGTTTAACTTACTTCAATGAAACGAATATTTTCAAGATACTGTGGTACCAAGAGTGTTAGACACTTGTTTTGTTTTCCATAGTAGAGTAAAACGTATAATAATTTCATGATTAAATTTTGCATTTCACAGCGTATTTCATCCACCTGCAATGCAATGCTAACTGACGATTTGTATTGAGCAGTGCTTATGTTAATCCTACAAAATAAAATGGATAATAATGATGTTAAGAATGATGGCAATAATAGTCTGGGAAAAATTTCGAGATCAAGTTTGTATGAATAAAAAAGAAAAAGAAAACACCTGTTCATGACGAATATTACCAGTGAAATAAGTACAGTCCCGAAAACCTCAAACTCTATTACTGAATAACGCTCACCAGTGACAAGCATCAAGATGGATCTCCTAAAATTCTAATAAGAAGCTATGGCTTACAGAGTCAACCAGTCAGAAGTGAAGAAGATGCCAAGTATAACCCATGTGATTATTATTATTCTGTCCCTTGGGTTCCTAGTGAAACATACAGCTTCAGTAGCACGTCGCCATTTCACTCTCTTCTCTTCAGTCTTTTCAACCTGACTCCACCACTGTCCACAAGATTGCATTTCTTCCTCACACCATCTCCTCCATGTCACCCTCGGTTGACCAACTCGTCGTTCTCCATTCGGGTTCCATTCGATGGCCTGGCTTGCGATGTCCCAAACGGTCTTCTCAGTGTATGTCCCAGTCAGGTCCAATCCATCTCCACTTTCTTCTGCATATTTATTGGGCGAAGGGTTCCTGGTTGGTTCATTGCCAGCCACTCAGTCAGTCAGTCAGTCAGAGTTCCTTGTTGCTTATTCTTATTATTCTGACCATCTGATCTTCAGTATCGAGTGAGCGTAGGCAGCAGCAGCTGTTGATGAATGTCTGTAGTTTGTTGGAAATGCTTTACGTAACGTGCCAACTCTCTGGACCATCACATAGAAGCACTGACTGGACTGACATTACTGTGGAAAACCCGGATCTTGCTCACACTCTATGCTAAGTGTAGTAGATCTCCACACTGATTTCAGATTGGTGAAAGCCTGTCTTGTTGTCTTTCCGATCCTGACTTTGATATCTTCATCTGTGCTGTTGCCACCTGTAGTTGAAACGATGCTGCCTCGATGGCAGGTAGGTGAAACAGACAACTTCCTTCAGATTTCTCCTGTTGATGGTGATTCGTGCTTCTTCTTCTTTTTGTTGTTGTTATTGTCATTGGTTGGGTATCTTCATCATCTCTGTATTCTCTACGTCCACTTGAAGGAAATCCCGTCTTCACTGCCCCTTCTCTATTGCCAACTCGTTAGTTTTCGCTTGTAGATCTTCGAGTATGAGCTACAAGACATTAGTCATAAATCGTCATCGGTGAAACCCAAGTCTTCGAGTCTTTTCATCGGTCAATCAGCGTCTGCCCCTCTTCTCGCCCCTCACGGTTTGTTGCATGATCCAGTCGACAACAATCAGGAAGACCATCGGTGATGATAGTAGGCAGCAACCTTGTTTGACTCCTGTCTTCACTTCAAAGGCATCACTGAGCTTTCGATTGCGAATCACAAGGTCTTGGCATGTAGCACCATACAGCATAGCGTACAGCTCTGCTGAATGAAGTTGATAAAGGTTTGTGGCCATGAAACTGTAGTCTTGAAGCAGGTGCCAAATTAATTCTCGGTCGACGCTGTCGAAGGCCTTAACAAAGTCGATAAATTTGCGGTCGAATTTTGACTTCCATACTATACTATGTTCTATGATAATGCGTAGTGTTGCGCTGAAATTTGATCCTCACATGGTTTGTTATTCCTGAAGTCAGCCAGCTACCCTGTTCCGGTCGTAAATTCGAGTCCAGCACATATTCAAGTATCTCCAGGATGATGGGCCGTAACATTTTGCTCGGGGAGAAAAAGGGCATGATTACGCACCATCCCTTCCAAAGACTTAGCTTAGGTCACCCTGCTTTCAGAAATTGATAAGGTAGCCCTTCCTCCAATCACTTGGCAGGTACCTTTCCTTCCTTCAAAACCTTCTGCAATAGTCTTGTGAGCATGTCCACTGTTGTCTCTCTGCCTGTTTCCAGTGCTTCTGGAGGAATTCCATCCGGTCCTGCTGCTTTCACAAATTTCAACAACTTTATGGAGTTCACGACTTTACTTCCGCTTTTTGTCGGAGTGCTTGTGTTCACTGATAGTTTTGTGGCTGGGCAGGGCTGGGCTGCTGCTGGTATTTCTCGACGAGTTCCAGGTGCTGGTAGTGGTAGTGGTGGTGGTGATGGTGGTCGATTCAAGAGTTTCGTAAACCGATCAGCTCATCGTTTTCTTTGTTTCTCCTCTCTCTCTCCTCTCCCTCTCTCTCCTCCCCCTCTCTCTCTCTCTCTTTGGTAACTAAGTTTCCTTCACTACCTACCATTGGTTTCATCTGTGTTCACTTCATCTCTCCCCTCCCCCCAAATAGTAACCTGGTTATTTGATATAGTATTGTCACGTCTCTGTCTCTCTTACCTCCAGCCTGTTCTACTTCACTTGCAAGTCTGTCGAACAAGTGTCTTCTGTCTTTCCATGCACTCTTCTTCACTCCCTTGTTCAGTGTAGTGTTTTACACGTTCTGTTCACTTCCTCTTTTCCTTGTTCACACCTGCACACTGAACTGCACTACACTAAACTACACTATACTACACTGCACTCGTTCATCTTCTCCTTCAACATCTTCCTCTCTCTCCTCCATCTGCTTCCATGTCTCCTTCGAAATCCATTCCTTGTCTTCTCTCTTCTTCCTTCCTAATACCGTTATCCAGGTTTCCTTCCAAGTCGCTTTCAAAGAGTTCCAGTGCTCTTCTACACAGCTTTCTTCATGGTCAGGGATGTCGCTCAATGTCTCTCTCCCATGTTTTCCTCATTAATGACTGACTGACTGACTGACTGACTGACTGACTGACCAACTGACTGACATGAAGATGTCCTTTGTAGTTTCCGCTTTCAGTTGAGTTTCTGTTCTGGGTGTTGAACTTCAACTGTGGTCTATCACCAACTTCTGTGAAGGCTCTCAACTTGATTTTGAAGGTAGGTTCCTTGCACTAGATACTGGTATGAGTGGTGTGAACCTACATCTGCTCCCGCCACGCCACCCCTCCCCCCATTCTTCATCTGACCAGGTGTCCAGTAGGCGGCTGCATCTCCACTTTCTTCACATTGATCGATTTGGTCGATCTGATTTTTAGTGAAGTGTGTCCATCTGGTGAAATGAAATCCACGTCACTTTGTGAATGTCCTCGTGTTTGTACACACCGCCTCCAATCACCACATCGTTGAATGCGCAGAAGTCTGCAAACAGTTCTCCATTCTCACTCATCATTTCACCGAGTGGTGCATCTCGAATCATGATGACTTCTCTTCGTGAGTTGTCCACTCCCAGTTTGGCAGGTATTCATGTCATCCCACCCATCAGAATGGATTTTGATGTCGTCAACTGGAGTGGGGTGTTGTCTTGTCTTGTCCACTACTGATTGCAGTTGTCTGTAGAACTCCTCCTCCTCCTCCTTTTCTCCATCTTCATTATTTGTAGGTGCGTAGAGTAGAGCAGCGTAGCATTGTATGATTGTGAATTTTCTTCCTTTTGAGTTGAACCTTGCTGCCATGATCCTGATGATTGAGGAGATTGGCTCCCACTGTAGGAGAGAGTCTTCGATGCTGTTAGAGACACCATGATAGCTCAGCGAAAACTCAGTGTGTTCGTGGTTGTCGTCTGGGTCACCTTTGGGTGATAGTACTGAAGAACCATTGAATATTAAACTCTGACCCAGTCGCTGAATGGTTAACGTATTGGCCGCGAGACTCCTCTGCTGGTCCATGTGTGTGTACTGCTGAGTAGTCTTATACTAGGACCAAACAGTTGTTTAGTGCCCTCAAGGCGTTCAGCGGCTCTCCAGTTGATGTTAAGTCGATTATGAATACTATCTTGAAATGATATTTGATAATCGAACCGAATCGATCAATCTCGATGGCTTTTAGGCTCCTTGTAAAGTTAACAAAAAGAAGTTACAAGCATATAACAGTTCCAAATGAAACTCGTTTCATATCGCCAACTGATGAGACTCAATAATCCAGTGAATGTAACATTTGAAGCGATGCGTGTTGGGCTAGGTGTCTCATTAAAAACACCATCACCAACCGTTAATCAATACTAAATAGGATGGAACCTGCCACCTGGATTTCGCTACCGGTTATCACCAACCATGTAGTATTTCACTAACATGAATTGCTTCCAGACTGAATCCACTCCTTAAAGAAGTAGAGTGAGAAAAAATCTACCACGAACTTTTCAAACTTATGTATTATATCACTGTCTTCCCTAAGTAGTGCAACAAAGTTGAATGGAGAACAACAAAAAAGTAATAAAAAAAGAATAAACTGCCAAACTATAGATAGGTAAAAGAGATTTTTGCAAATGAGGCTTCAAACGTAAGGAAACACTAAAAAGCGTTTCACCCCTTTTCGGATAAAATATTCGAACTAACATGCATCATAGTCTATTAGTCTCATGAAACCTTTAACCTGGAGGGTGTCACTTCAAACACCACGGTATTATCCACGAGGTTACTGAATTAAGATAGTTACCTGACTACTCGATGAACTTCAGGTGCGGTTGAGGCTGATTTGCAAAACTGAACTCACTAGAACATTGGCGCCTACAAGGGCGTTAACATCTCTCATAGATTATTCATTAAAATAAGCGTAGAAGTAGATATTTATAAGTGAATGCTGATGAAATCACATAGCCTAATGATGAAACATCTAAAAACAAACCTTAAAGACCAAAAAACAATCACCAACCTCATCCTAGGCTACAAATGTTCTCTAAATTTTAAGCGATAAAACGCTGAGATTGAAAATAACAAGGACCATACGCATACAATGTTGACAGAACCAGTTGAATACAATCAAATTAGATATTAAGTTGACGCATATCTGTTATTCCGTCTGATGAAAAGTTATCAATCGTCACATTTCAGTCTATGGGGTTCAAAACTAACTTTATCTACTTCATGCAAGTTATCACACAATAGTTATACCTCATAACCAATAACAACATTGTGCAGCTAGAGTTGATTGGATTGATTAGACACTTAACTTTAAGCCATTTGTGGATGATAGATTTCACTTAAAAGGGTTCTAGCAGATATGTTGAATTGTAGTCTACAGAAAGTATATGCGGTTCGTTTTCTACGTTGATTGAAAGCTGAAGAGTAATCGATTTCACATTGTCTAATCCTGACCGTTGATTAAATCTTACCAATTCCTTTGTAATGTGTTCACCAAGCCAAAACATTCAAGCATCACGATTCACTTCAACTGCTGTTAGGTGGTTTGGGGCAGTCGCTAGGAAAGCCAGGACCTGGACTTCGTGCACTTCGTCAACAAGGTGCATCTCAGTTGATGTCACCTCAGGGATTCGAAGCCGTGCCAGTCATTGTCACTGTCATAGACCTTACCAATTAGCTTTTCGGATCTCCTCCTGTAGGGCTGGATTACTTACATTGGCTAATGAGAAGTAATCAACTTCCTGTTGTCTGACCTTAAATTTTGATCGACTTCAAATGAATAATAGTCATACATGCTGTCACATACAATCACGCATTAAAATAGGATTGCGACAATTTTAGAAAATCACTTGGGTAAGTGGAGAGAGATTAATGAAAAACAATAGAACTATGAAAAATAGGTTAGAAAGTGGTTTGGTTGCCTAAATATGATTATAAGTAGTACATCCTGTTCAAAACGTTATCAGTAAATAATACTGTTTCACTGTGTGATGCATATATGAGGAAAAAGAAAGCTAAATTGAAATTATACTTTGTCGAGGGATATAAATTCCATTCTAGTCTAGTTTATTTTCTGACACATATGAACTTTTACATGCTTGTTGATTTCTTCACGGTATTCTCTCCACCATATAGGGTTATACACATTTCTACTTTCAACCTTATCAAATATCTGCAGAAAAATATTTAAAAATAATGTTTTCAACAGCTGTTGACAATGATAAAGAAAAAGCTTACATTTTCAACAGATCCAATATAAAACCATGTTTTGTTTGTTCAATCACATATTGAATTCTCACGGGACTAAATAGGAAAAAATGAAGATAAACGTAAAGAAAAGTATTCTATGTTTTACAGAAAAATTGTTTGAAATAAAAAGGATCAAGAGTAGACATCAGTTAGTTGGTTTCTTTTAAAGGATAACAGACAAAATTAACATTGAATGTCGCACACAAGTGAATCGGTTCAGGTTGCCGCGCTTCACAGTACCATAACATAGAGTGTATGAAAAAAGAGTGATATCAAAGTAGATAAGTTCTTTAAGAGTTCTCTAGTTTAGCGAACTCTAGAAAATCTAATTAAAGACGATGACTGGGAATATCTACTATCAACAAATGTCTGTGTAAAGCGTTTCATAACCTCACCTACTTTATTTCCAGCCCAAGTTTCTTTTTCTCGCATTTTTGCCCTTCAACAATTACCTTTCATTATTGAACAGAAGAATATTCCGTCTATTTGCCAAGTTATTAGTTACATTTCACTTCGCTTGTTCTTCCATCCCTCAGACTGTCATACTTGTTGAATAATCTTTCGCACACCCTTCTTCTACACGCCTCCTTACAACAACCTCTCTACAGGCTAGATGAAAACCCGATAGCAGTAGGTTGTAACCTAATCTCCGAGGTCATTCCCATAGAAATGCCGATTTCTTATGCTACAAGTTTTGACTACCATTTTAAGTGAAGCAGTGAAGACTACTCAGATTACATGACAGTTATATTTACCAGATAGTTTTTGAGATGATCGTAAGCGGTTTAATTTATAACTAATTATTACCTTTATAAATTCAACTTAATTTCATTTGAGATGACAGGAGCCGAATAAATAACCTAGCTAATGAGAGGGAAAAACCGTCGTATATCTCTCATTCACGTTCACAAGTCACTAACTAGGAAACTTCTGCTTAAAATTTTTGAACAATTCAAATTTATTCTCAATCTTATTTATCAACCCGAGAAGCTATTCTGTTGGGTTATTCGGTCGCTAATTCCTGAAAAAATTTCCCAGTGAAATGTATAAGGTGTCTGGCAGCTGGTATGACCCATATTTAGAATCTTAGACTATCAGGAAAGGGTAAGTAAGACAACTACAATAGATGGGGAGAAGTATAAGCGATACAGATGAGAATTAGTAGCAGCTGTACAGATATATTTACATCTTAACTTCCATTAAGTATTCCTAATATCTCCACCCTATTTGCCTTCTAGCTTATTCTTAAAACTGCCGTCTTCATTATTTTCGTTTCTGTCTTTCGCATCTATCTGGTGCATCATGTGCACGAAATCTGGTCATAAAGGTAGCAAAAACTTTGCTTCCTAGAAAAACTACCATTAGAGGATCTATTAATCCAAGTTCGTTATTATCATCTCTTCAAATGAATCAGTGACTGAAAGCCATCTGTTGTTGCGAACAACTGAACAACGGTAGAAGTCCGTCGATCAAGTGTACAATGTAAACCATAGAGCCACGCGACAGTACACTGCTGTGCATACTGCCCTGGTGTAAGATATTGCGAGTTCATCAATAGAAACTCCCGAACCCAAGTCACTTTTACATGTACATATTAGGAAAGCCTACGTGCGGCACCGAGGAAATTTCTACTTCCTTCGATATACGAACCTGTGACATTAAACACAGTTCAATGCAGTAGTGCGTTAGTAATCATATAGGAGACCTGATCAATAGAGTTTAGCCAACACTGTGGACTCAACTAACCAATTTGTGTACATAATCTAGTTTAACATGGTTGTCTTGTGAATGGTGATAAAAGGTTTGAATTTAGCAGCCAGTGATGCGGCCTCTCATTTTACATAGAACAGAAATTTCCTCATGGTCATGGATATGCAATGCTGAAAAGTGACAGTAAGCATGTGTTAGACTCAGGATTTTCTTCAATTTGCAAGTCGCGCACAAGTTGCAGTGGACATTGATCAATGACCGAAAATCTCAAAATACTATCAAACAACCAAAAAAAGCTTCATGAATTGATTGCATAAAACGTGAATACCCGTGGAATTTATATGCCGCATTAATAGAAAAAGTTTTTCTTAGGTTGGTTTCATCATGGACTGACTTCAGTTGGAAGGACATCGGAAATCTGGAAGCACTGGACAGCTGTTTCGTTCAAGTACGGGACTCTTCAACAGTACACACCCACGACCCCACCAGGGGTCGAACCCGCGACCTTCAGGTTCCGTGCCCAGCACGTTACCATTGAGACAATGGGTCAGAATCCAAAAAATAGTTTTGTCAATCTATAAATAAACTGAGTGGAACGTCTGTATACCCTCTCCAACAATGTACGCATAGTTTTTTAAACCAATAACCAATAAAAAAGCCACTGTTTTCAGTGTATTTTCCCCTTAGATTGATTGGTTTCTTTTGCTTGTTAACCAGTCTTTTCCTCCTTCATGTTTGTCTTTGCAATTTTCACAGCATATCTGATGAACGCTCACTTGTAGAGCATCACAGTCGAAGGTTGCCTTCTTAACACCTAGATTATACTTATAATCACATAGCCAATTCCAGAATAAACCTTAGTGTTTTGCTGTTGACTTTTTAAAGTTTTTGCCCATCACTTCGATATGGTTTTGATTAACACCAAGTACAGTTATAAGTGATATACGTTCAGAAGTCTCACAGGTACATAAAAACGAAATCTACAAGTGAAGTTATTTTCTTACTAAGTCCCAAGTCTATTCGTATGGCTTTTCATATCTCTCTACTATGCCACTAAAATCTCGAACTCATTCACGCGTTCATTATCTGTGACCAGCATCCTTACAATCCACCGTAGTCTTTAGAATTAAATCAAAGCAAAATAGAAGAAGCAGCTGATGAGAGTGATTGACACGAATACCATCACTGTATCAAATGATTTTTTTTTCTTTCTTTTCAATTCTGAACACTAATTGTAAGACAAAAGTAGGGTGAATTCTTTGACTGATTATCGAAAGAAAAAAGCAACTGCACGGTAAGGCTGGTTGACAGTATGGTCAACGGTGTAGTCCAACTGACTGTTGTAATAATGCACACGTGGACGTAAGCGTACATATCTAATAAACGGTTAGTTGTCATTCAATTAGCAAACAGTAGTCAGATTATCCTTCTTATTTGTAATGGGTGATGATTGAAGGTGAGATGAAAATTTGGACCACGGTCAGTGGTCGCTGGTTCGAATCCGACCTCTATCCAGATTTTCATCTCACCTTCAATCACCACCCAGTACAAACACCAGTCTGCCAAACAACGGCTATCTTAGATAGTTAAATCATATCTTTCTTATGTTAGTTTCATTTCAGTCAGATTCTGTTTTCTGAATTTAAGGTAATAATATATTAATCAACCGTATTATTAAATCAACTGAAAATTACTACAAATACAATTGTTGTACTTCCACTATTCCAAACTGCCTGACCTGCCAACTACTGTTGATGATTATGCTAAATAGTATTCAGAATGAACTGAGAATTACCCTTTTCTGATGTTAACTGACACACCTAGTGAATAATTACTTTAGCATTTATGAATTATCACAAGTAAATAATTAAATCGAAAAGCAGTTTCATTATTATCCGTCCAGTTGGTATTGAATACATATGAAATTCAACTTTGTAATCACACATATGTGAATTCTGTATTAGTATTCATCTATTGAAAAAAATTTCGCAGTTAACACGATATGGAGCTTATTGGAGGCAGATGAAGGAGCGGCAGTAAGAGAATGACCAGATTGTAAGAAATAAATTAGTAACTAATAACCAAGCTATAGCATGAAAGAAAACTTCAAAAGATGACTTGAATAACTTTAAATACACATAACTTTATCCAATCCGTATGATGGTTTCAGTTTACAGTATTTACAGTACTGATTTATGGTACTTGAATTCCTCTTAATGCACATAATAATATTATTGTGCTGGCCAAAAAATTCCAATGGTTAATTTCAATAAAAATACGCCCCTTTTAAAAGCTGAAAACTGAATTAAATCATGTCAACCAAACTTGAGATCAGGTAAGCTTTCGTGTTGAAAAATTACATTGATTACTGTGCGAAAGAATAGTTTTTACGTGTTTTTTTTCTTTTTGAAAAATGAATGAATGTAAATAAACTGTGTCTATCGTTCATCACATTGAATGGATGAAAACCAGGATACTAGTAACCTATGAGTTGGTTTTTTATCAATACTGATTTCATCTCAAGTTTATTAAGTAAAACTCGCCAAGTTCTCTTATTTAAATTGTAGGTGATATATAAAGCTCCCTCTAATATTCCCAAAATTTGACGCAAGATATTCACTTAAAAGTTGCAAACTCATTTAAATTGATCACGTAATACATAAAGATGCCTGTTTAGATTTATGCAAGGAATAAAATGAGGAATCCCATCTGAGAGTATCAGGAAATAAGCAATTGCATTCTTAGCACCGGCCATGTATAGGCTCCATAAGTTCTTAACAAGTTGTACTTTTCCCTTTTTCCCAAACACTACTCGGTCTCTTATAATACCCAGCTTAGTGCATGATAAAAGTGGCCCAAATGGAAATCAATATTTCAAGTCATCAGCCGCCAAGGTAGTTTTTTATCTCTCAATTTTGTTTCATGTCGTTGTGTGGTCAGAAAAAAACTTATTGGACAACTTACAGTTAACCAATCACAATAAACCACTTAGCTTTTGATTTAGTGGTTTTATGCGTTTATCAAAACTTTATATAAATTATGATCAAGATTTGATCGTATAGTATGGTAAATATTGGGCGCTGACATTAGATATAAAATTGTATTTGTGTAAATCACAGCCGGTTTGAAATCAAATAATTTGATTTGATCAAATATTTGATTTCAAACCCGCTGTGATTTACACAAATACAATTCTATATGTTTATCAAAACTGCTTATAAACGTATTTTTGTCTAAGAAAGTATCTTTCTTACAGCCACAGACCAGTCTTTTGCCTTCTAATATTTTCATGGCCCAGTTAAGTATAGAGTACTGAAGGAGAACAGTCGCAATTCATATCCGGTTCAATTGTTTCATTGCAGTGTAGCCTCCCGATCGGTCACAAAAAGTGACCACTATGTGAAGTACCGGTTGCTTATAGTTGACCAAAACTGCACAATGACGTTAAATAGCAAGCCTTTAACTCTTCCCCTATAATAACATTCAATCACTAGAATATCATTATAAGTACAGAGTGGACAGAGAAAATAGTTCTGACTACTCTTCGATGGTTTGTTATGCCGAAATGATTAACTGTCAACTAATGGTTCAATGATAACGTCTCTGACGGTGACAAAGAGTGGTTGTGTTTTCTGAGCTGGGTGGTTTAATCGTGAAGCTTTTATTGTCTTTCTAGACAACATAATCATAGTAAACATGAATCGTAGTTAACTAATCTAATCTAATGATGGATAGTGACTAGCAGTGGATTTCAGAACACACGTTTCGACCTCCTTATGACTCGTCAGTTGGATGCACCTACCTCCAATGGTTATTAATCATGATTATTTCTTGCTCATCGATAGTACATCATTCTTATTTGGTAATGACATTGGCTACAGTAAGTAAAACTTTATATTCATTGATTCGGAGGCCGAGAAATCAGATAAAGCTCATCATAAACCAATACGCCATGAAATTATTTATGAACCAGGTGTCATAACTAGTGAGTAAGTGATCTCTGTTATTAACTGATATCCTAAGTTTATTGGCAAATATCTGTCACAGTAGCATCTAAATGGACTCCAGAGTTCAGTGGGTTACACGTCGATTTTCAAATGAATAACTGGACTATGATTTATGACTAGATGTTTGTAATGGATAAAAATAGCCGTGATAATTTAGTTGCATTCAAGCTTTGCTTAGAAATTAAAGAACTCGAGACTAATCTCTGACATGATCCAAGTTGTGAGTTAAAAAAGCCAGTGTACAGGTGGTCTGTGGAATAATTCACGAAGTCACAAGTCTGGAATCATACATATGATTTACAAAGCTGTAAAGCATAGCAAACCTACAAATCTCAGATAAATCCATAGAAAAGCGAGAGGCATACACTCCTATAATTAAGTGACAATCACCCTGAGAACAACAAATGACACAACAGTAAGGGGGGAAAGATGTAAGTTTAATGATAAACAGGATTATTTATCAATATTGTAAAACAACTGCCTGAAAAAAAGTCCGTAGAAATAAACAGAACATTCCAATTAAGTAGATAGATCTAAGTTTCCCACGTTTTTGTACTTGCACCATTGCAACACTCAATAAATCAACAGTTTACACAAGAACATTCGACACGGCATACTAGTCATACATCCCGCTGTACATCCATGCTCTAAATCAATACACTTAATGCAACATCAATGTGCAAGATTTCTAACACTGGACAATTTACTGCTCTTAAGTTTGTTGACAATCGAAATACCCGCACATCCTCTCACCTAAAATATGAAACAACGAAAACATTTCAATCCGAAACTCCTTTCCTAACAGACTCCTATCCCTCTCTACTTCGTGTAACTGTGACCATCAAATACCAGGTTTTGAAAAGCAAACACACAAACAAACAAATATGCAAAACATAAGACTTACTAGTCTATAATAATTTTTAAAATTAATTTCATTTCATGCCGTAGACAATCAAAATTGTTCTCTCGTCTACAATGGTCAATTATCTAGATAAAAGAAAATAAACAGAACTATTATTATTACTACCATTATCGACAATTTTTTCCAGATAGCATGTGCAGAGATTCATTTTTCCAATATGTAGTATAGATTAAAAGCTATAACTGACAGGATGACAGATATGCAAGTACAAATGCTACTGTGCGATATAATATATAGGGTTTAATAAATAATCATGCGGGAAACAAAAGTTGTACAACCGTAGATATATTGAATTCTTAATCATTGTTTGTGTATTTGTTTTTGATGAGATATAACGATAATGAGCTGTAATGATGGATATGCGCTTCGTCCTATTTGAGACTGTTCAGCTAGATCGATAGACACCGATCAATTCGGTCCAACCAACGACGGATTCACAAGTTAAAGCATCAAACTATACCCGATACACAAAGATTAGCTATCGTAACTCATTAGCCTAGTGGGTAAACTCTGTGTCATTTGCAGCGACGGGTACTAGATACAAGACTTAATGGGAACAAAATCACTCAATGAGATGCAGGTACATCCAGCTGACGAGTTCCAAATAAGACGAAATGCACATTCTGGATCCCACTGCTAGCCCATATCCATCCATACCATGCAACTGTGAAACTACAGGCAATATTGAGGGATTCGCGTAAGAGCCTGAATTCCAATAGAGGACCGATCAATTCACTAGAGTCAACGACCGGAAATTGCAAGCAATAACATAGTGAGTTGTGTTGGTACGCTGAAGAGGTTCGTATACGGTAAACTAACGTGGACAGTAGGTAAACTTGTATGGTTGCGTTCCATCAACCATAAAACGAAATCTTACTCGCTCTGTTTCCATGATACCATAAAAATCGTTGTGTAGTTTCTTCAGATCCACCTTTTTTTAAATGGATATCTATCACGTTTCACTGAGAAAACCATGAAACATGAAAACACTTTCGCAATCATCAGCACTGGTTCTAAGAAGAAATTATTTTCGAGTTTAGAATCCAAAGGAGAGACTACTGACGATATTCTGAAAAACCATCTGATTCATAAGAGGTTTGATAATGAAAGTGATGACGCATTTCCGTTGATTTTTAAAATTATTCAAACCTCTGGGAAAAAACTTTCTCTATTCATCATCACTAAGTTGATAAACGAGGTATCGTCTTCACTTCAATTTTTTCGTTTATTTTTCACCCATCCAGTACTTATTGCGTGCACTGAGCAATAAACCAACACATTTACTATGTGAGGGCTTATGATATCACCTTGATGTCAAGGTGCAAGTGGTTTTGCGCCCAGGACCTATTGTTTGAAGGTCAACGAACCATACATATCCTACTTTTTTCCTCAGTAGTAAAACACCCGTTGAACGGATCCAAATAGTGCGTATTTTAAACCAGTATCAATTATATCTACCAGTCAGGCTTCAAAATTAGATCAGACCATAGCACAGTTTATCGATCTATGCAATGAGTGACCACTGATCCACACCTTATGCATTCTTAGAAATTAGTGGTTGGAGAACCTAAATGGCATGGCATTGCATGACATGGCAATGATATGACATAAACACACTCAAATTCTTTGGTTCTTCGACTTCTATTTCCAATTCAGATTAACATAAGACCAAGAATTACTGTATAACGGTCATTTTAATACCTGACTACACATGTTAACTCCCCATTTCTATCCTAATGATAGCTATGGTGTTAAAATTGATACATCTATGTCTGAGACATCCCTACCTCCCCGGTGAGTCAGTCCATTTATCTCCGACGTCATAAAAACATAATTAATATATGCACGTTAGTAATTCTAACATTCAACAAGCGAAAAATTCTACTTACAACGGATAAAAAATGATCTGATACTAACTGCCAACTAAAAAACTCTTCCCTGCCAACAGCACTACCATGACTGCCTATACTCCTTGTCAGTATCGTTGATGAACAGTTGACCTTACTGACGTTTTGAGAAGTTTTCTGAGTGGCTATTATTTCTTCAGATGAATATTGAGTATAGTCAACGCTTGCTGCACAACAGCTACCAGGAAAAATTGTCTTCCTATTGTCGCCGCCGCCTTCAGCACCGCCGTCATCATCATCACCACTGAATCGATTAGTGATAGCATATTTAGATAATTCAACTAAACAGGACAAAAGATGCAGCCATATTTGATCATGAAAAGTTTTATCCAATTTACTGTAATGCAAAAAAACAGAAAAGAGAGGGATGCTGGGAAATAGAAAAACAATGCATGAACAAGTCTTCATGGCATGGTTGCAGATAAAGAGTATTTGTTGTTAAATAGGAACGGGTTAGTAGCAGATTTCGTTGCTAAGCAGACTCACTAGTGCTAAGAGTACCTATCGTTATTCGACCAGCTTGATGAGACTTAAAATGCTAAATATATTCATAGATCGTTTATAATGCCAATCAGGCTTCAATTCTGATAAAATACTACAACCTAATATTAAATGTCTTTTTGCACAGATCATTCTTGTCCATCTTTTGGCTGCATTCTCCTTCAGTTTTTCTACATTTTCAACCAATCTACTACGCCCAGCTTTCCAAAGCATCGGCTAATCAATCTTCCATTCTTACAATTTTCACAAGTGAAGCCGCACTACAGACTACTTAAATGGATTCCCATCAGTAGCATACATCACAAGTACACTCCTCTTTTTTTCTTGCATCGCATCTTCATCAAAAGATATATCCTTATCTTGTTCTGAATAACACCGAGTGAAATCCCATAAAACTTGACAATTCACTTCCATATAATTTCCAAGCTATTCAATTTATTCCATTGCTACGGAGTACATCTAACTTTGCCACTTAGCTAAAGCAGAAATATAGCACGGAATGCCAATTCCTTATCACAACATGATATGACTGTATAGAAGATGCAACTAGCAAAGACACAATTCAACTACATCCAAGATAGAATACATTCTAAATCGAGAACCACGCTAAAATTTGCAAAGCTAAATCGATAAGAACCTTGCTGACACTCAATTTATTCGAGATTATTTGGCATCAATGTTTGCAAATTCCTTTACAATCCAAAGTTCCCGCCGTTAGGGCAGTAAACCACTGTGACCCAGCCTGAACAGAGCTCACAATCAATACGATTGGGATGTGTCTCCTCCAATTAGGTACTTGTTGATTCCAATAGACAGTGATTCAGTGGAACTAATTAGTTATTTTTCTTCTTGTGGTTTTCGAGTAAGAATCACAGATTTCTGTGTTCATTTAAAATACGGTGACGTGACTCATCTGTATCCAATTTTTCTTATTGAATTTGTTGTTCAATTAGACTCCTTACATCAATGAACGAGCTTTGAAAGTTTGTCATCTTGTCAATATGTCGTATTATTTGTCTGGATTTACAAACTAGCTGTACATATTTCTAAGTGGATTTCTGTATCGCTGCTGCCGTTGAAAGTGTAACATATAGATAAATTATACGTTTCTGACCACAAGTATTTTCCTGCTTTTTCTAGTACATGGTGGAATCAGAGTCAGCAATTCCGAGGTTAAGTGAAACGTACTAAGGTAAAGAATACAAGTCAGGTGGTTTGAACGAAACGAAATGCATTCAGTCACCTTTTGCATACTCGCACAGCAAGCAGTGAGTCACATCTAATGTGTAAGGGCTAGTGATACTACCTGGCTGCCCAAACCTCGGTAGGTGGAGCGGGGTTCGAACCCGTGACCCGCTCTGGCTGGGGTCGTCAACCCTCTAGACCATTGAGCCACAACTCCACTAAGTGGTTTGGATTTGTCTTGCGCATGCCAACCCACCACCTACCTGAACCTGTAATATTAGGTCACAAACAAAATTGGGTCGTAACAAAATTAAATCGGGTCATACCAAAAACTGGCACTATGAAGTTTCTAACTATTGGTTTGAGCGTGTAAACAGGTACAGATTGCCTGGCTATGATCTTCGAGATGATGGGAATCAATGGTTGGAAACTATTATTTTCACGGCTGAAAATCAGTCACAGTGGAGTAAATGTATTCATTCCTTGATATCTTTTAGAGCTTGAATACCTTCCCTAATCTTCATCTTCAAATAGTTTCTCCTCCCCTACACCTTTGTCTACTCTAATACCAATCTTTTCGTATCCAGCTGTTCTTTTCATGGTACTTTGAAGTGTGACAACTTGAACCAATGCACTTCTGTGCAAGGTTCTACGTTAATGTGTCTGCCTGAGTACATGTCACAATTTTGAATTGAATGGTATGCTGAGGAAAGACTAACCTACACAGAGGTTCCACATTGCAGAATGACATAAGCAGAAAGTAGTTTAAAAAATGAAATCCATTGGTAGCTGTTTTTTCGTCAGTTAGGAGTTTCCAGCAGTGCAAGCTATCGGGGTTAACATAGAAACGAAATCGAGATCTTCAAATACTTCTGCTAGACATTCTCTGACCGACAAGCACACGTCTCACAGTACTGCATTTTTCAAAAAATCTTTTTATCATAATACCATGAAGTCTGTGTCTCCTTTCCCTGTTAACCATTTAGGAAAGCATGAACATTTATCTCCAAGAGACTATGAGTGGTCATACATGCAGTGAGGAAGAACAGAAAACGAAACAACTCTTGAAAATGCTACATCATATCGATTTCTGACAAAATGCTATTGCCAACCTGTCGTCGTTAGCCAACAGAGCTCACCATGTACGACGACATTAGTCAAGCGACATACCTACCCAAAGCATTTTTCAGTCTAGAAAATGACACTAGAATATCACTACAAATGCGGTGTAATTCACGCTGATCCTAAGGTATATATGTTGGAATGGGAGATGATACCCAGCTCAAATCAGACTAAACACTGAAAAATTATTTTAAGCACATAAAATAGTGAAATTTACCAGCCTTTATTTTCATAAAAATAAACCAACTACTTTTGAGTATAAAAGTAGTTGACATAAATCAAGAAATATTTGACGATACAACTACTTTCAATCTTCAAAATCCATCGACACAAATCTGCGACAATTATTGTTAGTACTGCACCCAGTTTAAAGCATGAATGAAACTATATTTTAAGCAATCAATTATGTAGATGAATAATTTAGCAATTTAAGGTTTGTTTTCCTGTGAAACAAGTTGTCAAAAACAATGCGTTGGGCCCGGATTTTATGATCGGCTCTACTCAATCATTTAACGAACTACCTAGAGAAAAAATGCAGGTACAGAATATTCCCATAAGTCGAATAGCCAGAATCAAATAATCACAGTGAACCACTCTGACTGAACTGTTATGTAACCAACTACAAGGACAGAATAACCGAAAAAGCTCAAACAAAACATTAAGTTATTATTATCTTCTCAAATAACAAACCAACGACACTCTTTATGGAGATATTGGCTCAAAAGAGCTATAGGCTTCGACTTCACTTTTAGACTCACTGTCAACTATGCTAACTAAGTAACAGGTAAACAAGTCCGCCTCCTACGTAAATAGACCAGTCAATAGCGTAACCAGCTATTCTCTTAGCCCATAGCATTACCAATCGTTGTTATCAGTGTAGTCATAATATACGGACAACCACTGTTTACTCATATATTATTTGCAAATAACAGTAAGTCAGTGCGTACGAATTACGCAGCTTACGTGGTAGTACCATGGCAGGTAAAGAATAAAGCATAATGACAATTTTCTGCTGCTTCTACGCCTTGAGCTAATCTTAAAAGCATAAAGTGAAATTGGACATAAAATAGTGTGACCAATGTCACGAGTTGGTCACTCACGAGGTAAACAGTGTTGATGTTTGGACCTTAGTGATCAGTGCTGATTGAAGTCTATCGAACAATTCCGTAGCCATTCAGTCAAATGATGAGATAGTGTGGTCCCCTGTATATTTCTCCAACACTATATTTTAAAACAACGAAACAATATCCAACGAATAGGCTATCCCGTATCAGAGTTTGCTTTCGGAAGCCTGTCCATTTCAGGGATCAAATCAAAGCGTATTAAGCTGAGTAATTAATACTTTCGCGCCTCACTCTTTCTACTCTATAAGTTGTTTCTTTTGTGAGTTGTCGTTTCTTCCTTTATAACAAACTTGAGTCCATGAAGAAATCAGTCATGTTCTAGTAAAGTGTATTTACTGCTCTAAAGTCATTCCTAGATGATTTAATGAGGAAAGCTTAAAGTAGAGTTCAACGACACAGTTCGAAACACCACCAAGTATATTCTAATTTTGAGGGAGACGTTAATATTTCTGAGCAATCTGATGAAAACCAGAGTCTGAAGCAGTGACTTCATAGAAAGATTAATTCAAACAAAAACCTACCAAAATAACCTAGAAACACTAATCACAATAAGTGAAGGTTGAAGATATGCGTCAAAAATAATGTCTTAAAAGGATAGTCTTAATGCGTACGTTTTCCAGTCAAGATTAAGTCAGGATTGGAGTAAAAGTTATTCCGCAGTTAATGCTGGGTAACTGTGAACACAATATGCGAACGTCGTTCATCACTAACAGAATCCCACTGATCAGTCTTCAAGTAGTTACACTAGTCGCTGAACTTGACTTAGTTAAGAAATGATTTCAGGTTGCTATATTTTATCTTTGTCGATCTGACATTTGAAATTCAGGACACACATGTGGAAAAATTAATAATTGTCGGTTTCTGCTACTATTTTTCATCTTATTTCCGACCTAACTACTAATTTGAGTAGAAAAGATGTATTGTAGGGAAGAAATTCACTAAAAGGTTTCCTTACAAGATAACTTTTAGTTACGACACTAGTTTACTGAAGATACTTAGTGTTTCCTAGAGAATACGCTAAATAAGCATGACTATGAAGGACAAAATTCAAAGCCATAATGATTGCAAACGAATCCCATTTTACCTCTGATAGAACTGACCAATAAAATAGTTGCGTTAACTTAGTTTAGGGTGTTGAACACCTTTCAAGGCTAGCACGATGACTAACCTTAGACCATTCTATCTTATTTGTTTGCCGTTCGGCTGTATTGCTGTCAGAACGACTACTCGCTTTATTAGCTATTGACCAGCCTTTCTTGTTCTTTGTCTTCCCGACTGCTTTTGTAAATCAGGCGAACGTTCACAACTGTGAAGCACCACATCAGAAGTTTGTTGTTGTTCCAACTACATTTACATTTACATTACCACTTGTATAATAAGCCTGAAAAAAGTCGTATACCTCTTCTGAATTTCTTGTGAATTACTGCTACTCATTTAAGATTATTTCCACTTGTATTTTGTATTGAATATGAAATAAACTCTGTACAATCAGCCAGTTATTTTTACTCTGACAAATTTAGATCTGTAGTTGGAAGGCATCACAGTAACAAGCAAACAGTGTAGTAATATACTCTAATGGGTAACAGACACCGAAAACACCTAACTGGACGAAAAACCTATACGATGCTTTAAGAAGGAGATAACTAATGAGCCAAATTGTAAAATATACCACAATCCATCATCAACAAGCTGCTTTATAGTTTACAGTTTCCACAGTAATGAGATAGCAGGAATATAAAATTCCGCCCACGACCTTGAAACGACAACCAATCATAATGGATGCAGAAGTGTGGTCTTTCTTGATGACCTAGGATACTAGATTCAAGAAGTCACAGCACAGCGGTTACGGTTATGAAGTGAAAAATGTATTATTCAAATGCATTCCCTATAATTTCTCTTCTTTTATCCTAATAGATTTACGACTAAACCATCCAACTTGGAGTGTACGTCCATTCAGACCATCTAACTGAGCTATACACATTCCTCATCACCTTTCAAAATCATACGAGTGTAGTACGCTTCTTGCTGCTTGAAAGCTCAGAGAAAGCAATACCATCAAGACTCATGCATAAAAGTATGTTTTTTGAATGTTCAACAGTCACCTGACAATTGTTGAGTGGTGGCAGAATTTCATAATCTCACTGTAATCTTCATCACTTTCTTACGAGTATGAACTTAATTTTAATAATATCAATTAACAAAAAAGATTAATTGTAAGTTGGATTTGCGTACTTACTCTATTGTTTCAACAAGTTGGAAAAGTTTGCAATGACCTTCATACTTGACAAAATCACCAATAAACTGCCTACATTGCAAGACAATGACCAATTCCACTAGTGTTTGTTTACATAATTCTTGTAATTGATGAATTGTTCTGGAAGTGGTGGCACCACTATTATTGTTATTATTATTATTATTGTTATGATTAACATTACTCCCATTATTGTTGTAGGACAAATAATCTAACACTTCGTTGAGGATTGAAATAAACTTTTCAACTGCTTTACTCTATACATATTGTGAGAATAGAAGGAATAAATAAACACGTTACTGAAGTACAAGTGAGACTTCCGTCAGACATCAATTATGTATCAACCTGCTTATCTCTAACAGTTATAAAATGCATATCCATCGACCGATTGCAAATTAATAATAGAGTAAGTAGGCAACTGCCAGGTTACGTACACTTCCTGGTTGTTTGTTGGCACTGAGATTCACACCTATCATTCACTGATAAACAGTAGGAAAAAACACTTTACTTCTGTAATGACTGGCGACTGGATGACTTCATGGTGGACCAAGTTATACAGGTGAATCGATCACCGGAGGATAGGTGTTAATAAAACTTGTCATCCACTCAACATTCATTAAAAAGCACATCAGGCTGTGAGTGAATTGGGTGATGGAGGCCCTTGATGAATTTGTATTAAGCTGGTTGCTACCAGTCACCTGGATAAGTAACTGAATATTAGTGTGTTTAATGATGTTTTGCGTTGGTAAGATACGAACTTAAAAGAAGCATACAACCGTGACATTACACTGTGCACTGCACTGTAATTACAGGTTAGGCGCTTTTGGCAAATCATGTTATCCGTTAAGTTCCAGAGATAAGCAGATAGATGAAATCGACGTAGAACCTTGCACGCAAACATATCGGCTCAAATTGAACACTTCACAGTACTAAACAAAAAAGTAGGCAGATAGATTAACAGTGATATCAAAGTAGATAAACTTGTGTGAGAGATGTCAAGGAGTGAATGTATCCGTGCCACTATGATCGATCTTCAGCCATGTCATCAAGAGTTCTCAAACATTGATTCCTCTCCTCTTGGGGACCCAAACGAGGCAGCTTGTCTAAATCGCCGCCACACGATTCAGACCAATAGTCAGAAACTTCATGGAGTGGTATCAGGTCTTGGTCTGGCCACCGTGAACCCTCTTCCAGCCCGACCCAACTTATCCTAGCATGGCACACCGAGGTAGTTGGTGACTTGGTACACACAACACATGTCCAAGCCACCTTTCATCAACTTCCCTATCTTGCCTAGTACCCTTCGCCTGACTTCAACATAGCTCACACAGCGATTCCACCAGACGGAAGCAATACTACAAAGACATCTATGATCAAAGTCTTGTAACTGCCTCATGTCTTCTGCTTCCAACGGTCGTCCCACAGCCGTATAACATAACAGAATGGACAGCAGTGCAGTTTACTCATTTGTCGATGGATAGTTGGATATCTCGCCAGTCGATGCCATCGATGACGCAAGTTGGCAAGCAAGTGCCAAACGGATATTTGTATCTGATCTGAGGTTTCGTTGGCGCCCAGCTCGTCCAGGCTGATGCAACTATCCAAGTAAGTGAAGTGGTCGACACATTCCACCACTTCATTCCCTACCACTAGACTGGGGGTACTTGCATCAGATCACTTCTGGAGCATCAGCCTTCAACTTAAAGACGAGTATTCAAAAGAACGAAATACTAGACTTCAATGAAATCATAAGATGTACATTCAGATAGTGATCTATCTTTATTACTCCCATACTGTATATTTGTTTGGCTTTTTCAACCAATGTTTAAAAAGGGTTAGATGAAGTATCCTTTTTCTACTGACTGCAGTTCTCAAAAAGAAATCCCAATGGCTCTGCATTAGTACAAAGGGGAAATAATATATGACATATATATATATATATATATATATATATATATATATATATATATATATATATATATATATATATATATATATATATATATATATATATATGATCAGTATTACGCAGCTCTAATGCAATTTAAGTGAATTACTGTGATATCAGTTCAACTCTATACCACATGCATGATGCCATGAGGGATTGAGGTGGAGACAGTAATGCATTCTGAAATATACTTGAACCATGAACAATCCCTGATGAAATTATACACACAGACACGCGTGAAACGTGAATATAACGGATATAAAACAGATGGGACAGACCACCTAAACTGATTTTCTGTTTGAAGAATATTAAGTGTGATAAGTTATTCAGATATCTTCACATGGAATACCCATTTGGTTCAAGAGAGATTCAGTCGTATAGCAGGGAAGCCTGGTATACGTATAAAAAGGTGATCAGTTATACAGCGAAAACTCGGTATGATTAACTGCGCAAGTTATTTGTATAATTTTGTTTCTCATATCGTAGATAACCCGAAATTGCATCCAAATTAGTGGTTGGCGGTGATCAGAAGCAAACAGCACGAGCCTATCTCTGACTAGAACTATTTATTTGTACTGGAAAACGGTTTGCCTGTAGTATTTTAAGGCAAACATACTTCTGGAGTCTCGAATTCTAGAATCTAAGCGTTTTACTGGTACCTGTACGATGCATCCGGAGCTATCACTTTCAAAATAACTGGGATGAGACTAACCTAACCTCCAAGACGATTATATTAAGTCTATGAGTCAAGCTGTGCAGTGTAACTAATAAGTACACCAAGCTATGAAATGAAATAAAACACTGAAGCAACTACGTACATGGTGCATTAGGTAACGAGGCCCACGTACTGTGTGAAGACTGATGTTACTACCTGACGGTCTATACCTTGAGAGGTGGTAGCCACATCGCAGCTAACACTTGATTGATATATTCCAGTCAAGATTAAGACGTGACTAGACACCCGTAAACATAATCATCTGGCTTATTCTTTAAGTAGTTTGTCTTACGCAAAAATTGGAATCATAAAAGAAAGCGGTTACATGATAGGTGAAACATAAAACCAGGCAACTCAGTAGTAAGATACTAAAGTTTTAATCTCATAGTGGTTAATACAAAATACAGACATGTGGGTCTGATAAAATCGTTGTATTCCTACGCTACCAAACAGCCACAACTCCAAAACTAATGCATCTTGTCCACTGAAGAAGCAACGTCCATATGATTATCAAGCATTGAAATCTTATTTCTTAACTTTGAAGAATTCTGCCTCAGAGTTGGAGCCGAGCCAAAGTCAGTCCTCTAGATAACCAACCTCGTACATAAAGAAGTGGACAATTAAAAGTGACTTGGTGCCAGAATCTCCGATTCACTTCATTCAAGACAGTTTACACAGTCGTCTAAAATAGTCTAATCAGCTCTTATAATTTCGTCCTTCAAGTAGGATTTCAAAGACAAAAACTCACGTTAGTAGAAATGACGCAACGAGGAACCACGATTTTCTGACCTTTATTCTACATTGGTCATGATTTCCCGACAGTTAGTTATTCTTTGTGTCGTTCGCTTTTTAAACACATACTTGTAATATAAGCAAACAGTTGTCTAACAACAGCTTCAGCTATTCTTGAACTTTTTTGACCCCACTACTCCACTACTCTACTCTTTCGTGCATTTCTTATTATTTTCGGGTTGATATTCACCACCGACTGGCATCAGCTGAAGAAACATTGGGAACCTGAGGGCATTGGATAGCTGTTTCGTCTTACTAAGAGACCCCTTTGCGGTGCACACCCATGGCCCCGCCAGGGATCGCATCCAGGAACTTGTGGCTCCGCGGTCAGCGGGTTACCATTCACCCATTGGGTTGGCATCCAATGCTTCAGACTTCCTATCTCTATGAGTACATCAACTGATGTCGGTCCGTGACGAATATCAATCTGAAGTTAATAAATAAATCCCCGAAAATCTCTAAATTTTATTATTATTTTGTTCACCATGTAATTCGGTAGTATGCAGGTGAGTAGGTGAGCACAGCATTTTTCTTTATCAACCATCATTTTCTCCATTAATGTGATTTCGAATCAACATGATTTAGCGTTTTAGCTATAAGTGAGTACTGTGATGATAATGATATCGAGTTACCAGCACAGGATCGTCATATTAGATATTAACACTCGCGAAATACACTACTGAAAACAACATGAGTAGTTAAGACATATTCACGCTGATTTGTAGAATTGGTTAACCATATCAGAGTGACCTAAACACCATTTCACTCATTTGGAGTCGACCTCGTCAGCCGCGTACTCGGACAAATTCAGCTAACAGAGACTAATTGTCCAATCCAGTTGCATCGGGTTAGCTGAATTATATGTCGACACTGTTTACTCCTGTGGTTGAGTGATGGTTGTCACTTCAAGACCCAAATGTCAAGGAACATCAAGAGACTAGAGTGCGAGTTAACGTTACCAAGAGTTCACACGCCTTAACGACATTTAACGGTCAACTGTGCAAAAATCTGACCACGGTGCAGACTAATCATAATATTATATATTACAATACAATAGTCAACCAAGGGTATCATAAAGGTTAGTAGACAACTAGTAAATTTCCATTAAACAAGTGCTATATGGCAGCTTCATCAGGCAAGGCACTTAACTTTTATCACTTGGTATAGTTACACTAATCTAGTGTTCAGCGCTATACAAGCTGACAGTAACAGTAAATCAACATTAAATCAAATTGTACGCCTGGACTAACCTGTTATTTAATGTAAGTGTATTCAATCTGTCTATCACAAATAACTGTATTAGTCACATACGAAAAGAAATTGATCACGTTTACAGTCTTCATTTGTTCAGGTGGATAGAACATGCGCTACTACTCATGCTTAGTCACCATCCGTCCCATCGCACAATGTTAACTGAGGTGGGTTGAGGATGTAAAAAAGATTAGTGGTGATGAGACTAAGAGGTGGTACTAGTCTCTGGAGTCTTCAACTGTAAATATGAGCTGTGAGAACAAATAGAGACCTCCCGGTTACAGTCTGCAACACTACCGAAGTTTTTGATTGACAACTCTAGATGATGCGGCTGGAACTCGATCTCAATGGCACAGATGCATCCATAAATTAAAATCATCTTGATCGTCACACCAAAATTTGTTAGTTGCTTTACCCCCTCTTCTTCTTTGCTTCTTATGACTTTCAACGACCTGTGACTACAGTTTTTTGCCATGTTTCCATCTTTCATTCTGCTGCCTAGTATATTACCAGAATGTGTGCCAACTAAAACCGTTACACGCAGAACTGTC